GTCGCTAACTCAAGTCAGATGAGCTTCGTGGCTGAGGCGCAGAGACTGCTCTGTTTTCAATCTCTGAAATCACCCGCCCTTCCCACCTCCTCCTTCCCCTCCGCCGGGAGATGCCCGGGTCGCTGTTCTCAGTGCGCCCGCTTCCCCGGGCCCCGGGGCGGAAGCCGGGGACGGGAGGGAAAGAGGGGAGGGAGGCTGGCTCTACAGGGGCTAGTTCCGCGCGGACCCTCTTCTAGCCAGCAGCGCGCGCAGGTGCCGGGGTCTGGCCTGCGCCCCTCGCCGCGGCTCACACAAGTCGCCATCTGAGCGCGTGCTGGTGAGAAGCGAAGCAGCCTTCTAGGTTTGGTGCATGTGTTTTGTAGGGAGGGTTTTTGTTTGTTTTATTTTGTTTTGTTTTTTAGAGACGCCACTCGAGCTGCCGCAACCAGATGGAAGTAATCAGAACCCAACAATAACAGAGGAAGAAGGAAGAAAAAACCTCACTGAATTTTCGGGCCAACGTGTGTATGGGTGTATGTGTGTGAAACAACTTGCTTAAGCAAACTAGGTGACGGGCCCCAGGCCCTCAAGCCGCACCGCAGCCCGGAACTGAGCTTCCTGGCTTGGAGAAGCATGAGGGCAGCTGGCTAAAGTGTCCCCAACCCATCTCTTAGGGCCGAGGGTCCTCACCCAAAGAGTGCCTCATTGGGGACCGTTTTCTGTTTCTTCCTAACATTTGTGTAGCCCTTACTATGTGCTAGGTGACACGTTCTATTTCTTACAAAACTCTGTAAGGTAGATCTTCTCCCCCATTTTACAGGCAAGAAGACTGAGGCTTAAAGAAGGTAAGTAGGTTGTCCAAGGTCAGGCCACTGAACTGCCATCCTCCATGAGTTCAATACGTTGTACCATTAGTTCGACTAAATTCACCCTGTTGAGGATTGTGAGAGTGTCCCTCCCTTCAGCCCTTTTTCTTAAGGTTGCATCTTGTCTAGAATGCAGGGGAGCCAGACTCAGAAACCCAATTCTACCCTCCCTTCACAAGCCTATTTTTCCGATATAACCCCTTTTGTCAGTAGATCTCTCCATTTACCGTTGACCCTCCCCTAACTTTATTCTTCACTTTGTAATCAAAGGGGGAGCATTATTATTTGCTATTTGCTATTACCTACCTTCTTTGCCTTCTCCTTACATTCATTTATATGAGATAACAAGTATTTCCTGACCTACAGAAAAAAAATATGTAGAACCATATCAGAACAATTTGATGCTAATTTTGTTTTTCTCAAATAGGCTCTCCAGAAGGGGGAAAAAAAAAAACCTCTGCAGGGTTTTTAAAAAGCAAAACTTGCAGAAGTCAATATATTTATTAAAGGGAAGAGATGTTTTGGAAGGGACTTTTTCTTTAAATATGATCAGATTCACCATTCCTCCATGCTGTTTGTTTAAATTCCTGTTGAGCTTTCAGACACAGACTCCAAGGAGACAGAAAAAGTAAACTCTCCCTCCCTCCTTGGCCATATTTTAATGACCCTATTCATATCTACCCCATGAAATGTGGGGAATCATTTCATGTTACTGGAATATTAGCAGCATCAGCTGATTACTTCATTACAAGCTTGTCTCTGTTGGTTTTCTTGTGTTGTTAAGTTCGTGAAGACATTTAAACAAATCAACATTTTGGGATATTTCCTTTTTCTGTTTTTCTGCTCAGACCCGCACAGGTCCTGCTGGAATCCAGGCACTCCCATAACCTTTCCTGGCTTATTTTGGCAAGAAAGTGGCTGTTGAGATGAAGATGGAATCTTTTCGGTTTGAGGAGGGTGTATAAACATTATGCCTTGATCTCCAGATGGTCAGCAGTCTGGGCACAAAAAAAGCAGCGGAAGGTTTGGAGCAGAGGCAAACTGGCGTATCAGAGAAAGCCTTCACCTGGACATGGGACACCAGGTTCTGGTCCCAGGTCTAGTACTAAATGTACGACCTTGGGCAAGTCCCCATTCATTGTCAGTAACTTTCTGTGCACCAGGCACTATGTTAAGTGATGAGACATCACAGTGAATGGGACTAATGAGATCCTTTCCCTCGTGGAGGTTTGTGTTTCATCAATAACCACAAATACATAATTACAAACTGAGTGGAAAAACAATGTGAAGTATTCCAAGAGCTTATGATTGGTGACCTGAGCTAGCAGGAGGGGGCAGAGGGGAGGGAGAGAAGGCTTACCTGAGAAAGTGAGGTTCACTGATATGAAGAAAGAGTGAAGGACAAAAAAAAGCAAAAAGCGATAAATGGAATTGCATGAAAAAGCTTCTACACAGCACACACACACACACACAATCAACACATTGAAAAGGCATCCTATAGAACGGGAAAAAAATACTTGCAAACCATACACTGACCAGGAGTTTATTTCCAAAATATATAAGGAACTCCTAAAACTCAATAGCAAAAACACAAATGACCTGCTTAAAAAATGGGCAAAGGACCTGAATAGACATTTTTCTCAAAAAGACAAACAGATGGCCAACAGGTATACAAAAAGATACTCACCAGGGAAATGCAAATCAAAACCACAAAGGGATAGCACCTCACCTTTGTTAGAATGGCTGTTATCAAAAAAACCAAAAGATAGCAAGTGTTGGCAAGGTTGTAGAGACAATGGCATCTTTGTGCACCGTCAATGGGAATGTAAAATAAAATAAAAGTGGTACCTAGTAGTGTAACCATTATGGAAAATAGTATCGTGGTTCCTCAAAAAATTAAAAATAGAATATGATCCAGCAATCCCACTTTATATCCAAAAAGATTGCAATTAGGACTTTGAAAAGATACCTGCATTCCTGTGTTCATTGCAGCGTTGTTCACAATAATCAAGATATGGAAACAACCCAAATGTACATCACCCAATGAATAGATATAGAAAATGTGGTACAAACATACAATGGAATATTATCCTTAAAAAAGCCGGCAATCCTACCATTTGCAACCACATAGATCAACCTGGAGGAAATGACAAGTGAAATAAATCAGTCACAGAAAGACAAATATTGCACAGTTCCTCTTATGTGAGACATCTAAAATAGTCAAAGATATAAAAGTAGACAATAAAATAGTGGTTACCAGGGGATGAAATGAGGGGAATATGGAAAGTTGGTGGTTCAATAGGCATAAATTAGTTGTATGAGAGAAGTTCCAGAGACCTGCTGTACAAGAAAATCCAGGCCCAAAGAGAAGTGCCTTGTCCATCCTTGCACAGTGTTCCAGTTACCAGGGTTGTCTGACAAATTGTCCCCAGACTCAATAGCACAAAGCAATTGTTTATTATGTGCAAAGATTCTAGGGATCAGGATTTTGGACAGAGCATGGGACAGTTTGTCTCCGCTCCGTGGTGTCAAGGCTTCAGCTGGAAGACTTCAAGGCTGGTGCCAGGATCATCAGAAGATTTGCCCACTCTTATGCTTGGCTGTGGATGCTGGCTTCTGGCCAGGGGGCCTCAGTTCCTTTGTGTCTGGACTGCTCCATGTGGTCTCACTACTGAGACTAACTAGGGCTTCCTCACAGCATGGTGGTAGCCGGGTTCCCAGGGTGAGTGTAATAAGTATATAATAGCCAGGCAGAAACCCTATCCCTCTTTAGGAAACTTTGAAAGACACACTGCATCACTTGGCTGCATCCTATTCATCGAGACACAAAGTTCTGCCTAGATTCAAGGGAAGGGAAACTTCTTACTGCTGCTTCTTAACAATTTTTTTGTGGGGGATAATTATATTCATTTATTTA